TTTTCTGGAACCTGTTTGGATTTTGGAACTTTACAGTAAAATACAGAATAAAATAAATCTGAATGGGGCAGGAAGTAAATCATCCTGCAGTATCGGCACCGTTATTAATATCTGTCAGGAAGTTGAATCTGAGCCTGAGGAAATCAGAGGAAAGTCTTGAAAACACATTATGTTTTCTGGATGTTGAGAGAAGTGAAGTAGCTCAGAGTTTTTTCTCTAGTTGAATATTTTCTAGACAGAAAAACACCGCAGACTAGCCGCAGATTCAACATTTTTATTTGCTGGTGAAAAACTTCAGATTTACTGAATAAAATATTCCGACCTTTGAACTGCTAAATGAAATAAAGCCGATTGGACAGAATAAGAAATATCTCCAGTTTGTTTTGTGTGTTAAGAGTCGGGGGAAATGGGATAATCTTCTTCTTCTTCTAAATTTCTCTTTTCTAAGTGACAGAAGCTCTGAAATGGAGGCGGCGCAGAGATGAGTTATAAAACCAGTTTATTAGGGACTAATCTGTCCCAGCGCTGCAGCAGAATATTGAAGGAAGGAATCATTCTGGCTGTAAAAGCTAAGCCGGCCCGTTTGGATCTTTATATTGCACATATATTGAGTATTTTAGGAGAGCGGTGGCTTGGATTTGATGCAGATCTCCTGAGAGATGCTCCCACTCTAAATCTGTTCCTGGATCTGCAGAGCGACGCTGCCTCGTTTAGACCAATAAAAGCAAATCTTGTTTTCCTGCTTTTTATTTTTTCTCTGCAGGCCTTGAGGCTTTTTTAGGATGCTGCTTGTGGCTGCAGGCTGGCAGAGTTAATGTGGTTTATTTGTTTTTACAGGCTTCATCTCTGCCATGCTGTCCTGTTTCTTGTTTTGTGTCGCATCAAAACAAAAGCAGAGCTTGGTTTTTGACGTTGTCTGAACTTGATGGTCGGTTATGCAGAAAGGATGGAGATAAATTTAGCAGACGGTTGTGGGGAAGGCAGCAGCAGCAGGAACCAGCTCACTGTTTCTGGGTTTGGACTTCACGCTTCCTGGAACTCCACTTTTCATTTGTTCGTCCATTTAAATTCATTTTCATATCTATTACTGTACATGTGGCAGTCAGAGTTTCTTGCTCCATTAATCATGTGAATCTGATGATTTCTGTATGTTGGCACATCGTGATCACTTTTGATTAAATAATTATTTTCTAGTCAACAAAGATTCATAATTGTATATACTGTCTTGAATTTGGTTAGATGCCCATAAACCGTTGGACCTGAACTCGTTTAGTGAAGAAGACCAGTTTATTTTCAAACTTATTGATCCATTTCTTGCTTTTACGAACGGAGAAAGTTTGAATGTGTAACTTTGTGGCTGGAGGAACCGGCTCCGGTCCGAACCGCAGTCCGGTTCTGCTTATTACGCCTCTTCTCCTGCCTCTCTCCAGGAACGGCTGGTGTTATCCGTGCTGCCACGTTTTGTAGTTTTGGAAATGATCAACGACATGACAAATGTAGAGGACGAACACCTCCAGCACCAGTTCCACAGAATTTACATCCACCGCTACGAGAATGTCAGGTGAGCCGGTTCCGGTCGGGTTCAGGACTCATGATTGCTCCTCACATCAGGCCTTTTTCTGAGACACATTTCCGTTCAGTCAGAGAAACACAGCTTAGAGTGTAATCAGTATTTCTATCTAACCTGGAACTGAAAGTGACATTTCCGTATTTTATTCAGCATTCTTTTCGCAGATGTTAAAGGATTCACCAACCTCTCCACCACGCTGTCCGCCAGGAGCTGGTACGAATGTTGAATGAACTCTTTGCACGTTTCGACCGTCTGGCTCACGTAAGTACAGGAACAGATTAGGAGATTTTGGTAAAGGTAAACATAATCTGTTAAAAACTGAGGTTCATCTTTTCTGAAGTTTTGCATGTTTTCCTTTCCCTCTGTTTGGGTTCAGAGGTCACGTTTCAGTAAAAAGAACCTGGTTTTCTCCCCAGGAGCCACTGTCTGCGCATCAAGATCCTGGGAGACTGTTACTACTGCGTGTGTCTGGGCTGCCGGAGCCCAGACCGGACCACGCCCACTGCGTGGAGATGGACTGAGCATGCTCAAAACCATCAGGTGAGACCTGGCTGCTTCTGGATTCACTGCTTATGATGGGATGGAGGACGATTCAGCAGGTCTGAGGAGGAGGAGGATGATGAAGGGTTTAGGGCATATATACCTCTCTTCACACAGATCTGAAGGTCAAAATGCTCCAAAGGTTTGAAGGGTTTCCTGAAAAGTTGATCCAATTTCACTTCACCATGCAAAGCACAGCAGCTTTGGATTTAACCTGGACTTTGACTAGGTCGTTCAAAGCCTTGATTTTTATTTTACAGGATTAAAATCCAGAGTGAATACGATTGAACCTGAGATTAAATTACTGCCATTTTTATAAACAAATCATTCATCTAATAATCTACATTAAACAGAAACTTTCTAATCAAAGCTCATTTGTTATTGTTGCTTTCATTTCTTTCAATTAAATAATTTTCTTAAAATAGGAGAAAAATCAACATTTCTATTTCTGTCTCACTTCAGCTAAAACCTTGAATGTCCTGAAAGTCACAGCTGCAAAAATAGATGATTTAAAATATTTACTGAGACAAATTAACAGTTAAAAATGAGTCGCTTTAGGGCACAAATATAAAATAAATGGTTAATTTAAAGAGTGTGCAGCAATGGGAAAATCTGAAAATACAATAAAACAGAAACTTGTCCCTGAAATGCTCCAAACAAATATTAGCGCCGGTGAAAACAAACTCTACTTTACATGCAAATGTTTCCTGCATAATTCATGCAAATAATTGTGAGCCTGAATGTGGAGCCATTTATAAGCAAAGTGTTTAACCTGGTCGGCCGGCCGGCCGGCGCCGCGCCGCTGGCTAATGACACACCAGCAGATTATAATAACCACCTTCCACACGTGTTCTGGAAAAACACGCACACACACACACACACACACACACACACACACACACACACACACACACACACACACACACACACACACACACACACACACACACACACACACACACACACACACACACCAGTATCACGGCCTTCTGCACGTTTCCCTGTAAATGAAATTGCTGGTTTCAGATATTTAACCTTTTGCAGATTTTAACTTTCACTGGGAGTTAAAAGTTTTGTCAATAAAATTCATTGCATTTTTCAGCAAAATAAGCAACATTTTCAATTCAAAACCTTTTTTGCTGCTAAAGTAATAGATAGACACATAAGCTCAACATCAAAGTAATGTCTTGGTTTTATTTATCATGTCATCATTAAACCATCTGATCGCAGCAAAGGTTTTTCTATCCATGCAGCTTCCCAGAGTTTCTCTGATTATTCATGGAGCTTTTTAGAAATGTGGATGCTGACATTAGCGATAGCTGCTACATGTTTAGCATTGAGATGCTACTTCAGGCTAACAGCTTTTAGCACAACAATAGTCTTTTCCAGCCAATCGGATCAGTTTAGAAGCAGAAATTAACCTCAGTGCTCAGAGAGAAGCAGCTGTTTCGTCCATCTGTTAGCAGATGCAACTTGTGTATCAAATTTATCGGCGTACCAGAAACACGTCGATACAAATGTTCCGGGCGGAACAAAAAATTACTTACTCTGTAAAATATTAGGTGCAATAAATCTATGTGATTAATTAATCACAATTACCAGCTGAAAGTCCCAGGGCGACTTGAATCTGATTTAAACTGATTCTCTGTTTAAATCTGCTGAAGCAGCAGATTTAAACAGAATCTCTGGTTCTGATCTGAAGAGTTGGACGGCTTCAGTTTCAATCACTGAATTAGAGAATCGGGACATGCAGCATTTCACTGCAGCTCGTCTTCATTAAAGGCTCCTTGAACAGGTGAGAACAGATCAACGGCCTATACAAAACCTGTTCATTACATTTTCTGCACAAAATCATAATTAAATTTTATTGCTGTTCAGGGCCTCTGTCATTTTAAAACCAAAGCATCTGCTGCTGGCTGGCCACCACCCAACTCAGCTTTGCCTGAAAACTGTTGAGTAGTCATACCATCGTAAACCTTTGAAAAGCAGAAGTGGAGCCTCCTGCACACCAATACATTCTGCATCCAGAATGCAGCAAGTGGTTTCTGGATGGCGAGTTAACAACAGACACCAGAAAACATAAATTTATTACTGATTGTTTTTTTAAAGTCTTGGTCGTTTTTAGAAGAAATTGAAATAAAAGTACAAAATTGTGCAAAATGTGAATTTGGCATCATTGTCCCCTTTAACAATGAATTTCTTGACTTTGTTCCATTCCCTGTCTGCCTCTTGTTGAAAGAAAAAACTGTTTGAGTTTTTGAAGTGAGTTTTGCAGCGCAGAGCTTTAGAAATCCTTCTGCCCTCTGGTCAGGAGGAGAATCGGCGCAGCAGAAGTAACATCCCAGCTTTTACTCCTCCGATCCTCAGAAAACGCTCCCTGAGCTTCTGACTCCGCTGCCGGCTCTAATTCAATAATTGTCTTTATTGCTGCTGGATTTCGACCTTGCTTCTCTTTCTGAGTGACTGAGGGCGGAGAAGAGAACGTATATTGGCCGGGAAGAGGGGGATTAGTGATGGATAAGCTGAGGTTGCTGCGTTTGGTTGCTCCAGCAGCAGGATGAGTGAAGCCGCTGAGGACGGAGCTGATTGGTCGGCTTTGTGTCGCATCAGTCAGTCCTCCTCCTCTCCGGCCTGCGTCATCTTTCCGTCAATCTGCAGATCGCTGCTGTTGATATCCTGCAGCTGCCATTAAGCACCTGTCTCACCTTCCCAGGATGCATTTCACCTGCCGCTGCAGCGATGAGGCGTCAGCTTCAGTCCTGCTTTCATTCTCTTCACAGATGATAAACTATGAAATGAGACGCAAATTTATGAACATTTTTCCACCGTTTTATTGAAAAGCGATTCACTTCCAGCAAAGGTTACATTCATGTTTATTAATTTGCTGCATTAATGGAAGTGTGTATCATGTATTTTACCATGTTACTTAAAATAACAGCATATTATGGAAACATTATTCACTTTGGGTCAATCATATCATTTATTTATATAATCTATAGTTTAAAATGCATTTTTGAACACAGCTGTATATCTGCTAAAAATACCAGCAGGTTTAGAAAAGCAGGAAAAACTGCAGAAAGTGAAGAAAATATTCATTTTATACTTCTTAGTTGCATTCTGGGAAGTTCTTCAGCGGTTTGCTTGGACTAGACCAACATTTGGACATTTCATCCATCCAGCAGCAGGTCTTCTGCTTTTGCTCCCAGAAACATGTTTAAGGTCTCTGTTGGATCAGAACCATCACACTGTTCTATTATATACTGTTATATTTGTAAAACTCTAAATGAAATGTCTTTGTTGAGCTCATTTGTTTATTTAGTCAATAATTTAGCAGCAAAACGTTTTTTATTTGAAAAAGTCGCTTATTTTGGACGTCAGGAAACTACAGAAGGGTGAAGACGTGAGACTGGAGAGTGGGACCGTAATGAAACTTTCTCTCGTCCAGATACGTCCGATCTCGTACGAAACACGACATCGACATGCGGATCGGGATCCACTCCGGCTCGGTGCTGTGCGGCGTTCTGGGCCTCAGGAAGTGGCAGTTTGACGTCTGGTCCTGGGACGTGGACATCGCCAACAAGCTGGAGTCCGGAGGCATCCCCGGGTGAGGACGCGTGTGTGTGTGTGTGTGTGTGTGTGTGTGTGTGTGTGTGTGTGTGTGTGTGTGTGTGTGTGTGTGTGTGTGTGTGTGTGTGTGTGGATCCAACCCAAAACACAATAACAGGAGTTTTACTGCCGCCATGGTCCAGTCTAAAGAGAGAGAGGTTTTAGTTTCTGTTCCTGAACATCCTGCAGCGTCTGTCACTGAGCCGGATCGTGACCTCTGACCTTTGCTCTTCAGTGAAATCTGTTGCATAACAGCAGCTCCTCTGGTTCCATGAATGTTTTCGTCACATCCAAACACTTCAGACACTCGCTGTAACCGGCGGACTTGACCTTTGGTTGCAGCAACATTCAGCCACTGACCTGACAGTGACCTTTACATTCACACCTGCACAGGTCACTGATTGGCTGCTTCATTCACACCTGGACAGGTCACTGATTGGCTGCTTTTGGTGGAAACTCATTCAAATCTGTCATATTTTCTTATTGTGACTTTAACAATTGTTTGCTCTGGTTATTCTGTACGGAATGCCAATGGTGCCAAATTACAACAGATAATAAGAATAAAAATGATTGAAATGTGTCATTTATTTGTTTAATCCCAAAATAAATACAGAAATAATTTATTCCATATAGAATTATATACATGTTTTCAACATGTTTCATTTAAAAACTAGTTGTAAATGTAATAATTTAATGAATTATTTTTTGTTCCTGTGCTGAAGCACATCATAAATTCACTTAAATTGTTAACTTCAGCCATCAAACTCAGTGGGCGGGGCTAAAGGGAGGCCCTGACTTCTGATTGGCTGCTTCAGTCACTTTCTTACATGTTTGCTACGACTCGGGGTTAATATTTCTTTTCAGTTTTAAATGTTAATGACTTGTTTAAATAAATGTTTAGTAAGTCATGTACATATTTAATTTATAAAAGGACATTTTCACATGTTAAAAGGGAACTAATCTGCCAGTGTAACCAGTACTATTGAATTAAAACAAGCTCCTGTATCCTTCTGAAAAGTCACTGGTAAGTTAGTTTTGTCTTATTTCAAATGTACAACTCGGAAAAATACTTGGTAAGATTTTGTTTTTGCATCGTTGTAAATTGGCACTTAACATTTAAAAAGGATGAATGTGTTTTTATTTTGTATACTTTACAGAAATGATCCATCACATTAATGGAACTGATGTTTGTCTGATATTTCTGTCGCGTTTCAGGCGGATCCACATCTCCAAAGCCGCTCTGGATTGTCTGAACGGCGACTACGAGGTGGAGGAGGGTCACGGCAAGGACCGCAACGACTTCCTGCGGCGCCACAACATCGAGACGTACCTGATCAAGCAGCCGGAGGAGAGCCTGCTCACGCTGCCGGAGGACATCATGAAGGAGGCGGCGAGCTCGGCCGACCGCCGGGCCAGCAGCGCCACCTTCAACGAGGCGTCCTGGAGCCCCGAGCTGCCCTTCGACAACATCGTGGGAAACCAGAACGTAAGACCCGCCGGCTTCTGTTTCACACTGAGAAAGAACGGCTGTCTGGACCCACGGCCCGTCCTGCAGCAGAACCATTGGGCTTCCATCAGGAGGGAAAATGCTCCACGCTTCCTGCAGGGCGGCGCTGTTTGAGGGACGGGCCGTTGTTTTGCAGTGCATGAAATCTTCTGGGTTGTTTTGTCTTTTAGTTCCTGGGATTGAACAGACAGTGTGTGTGTGTGTGTGTGTGTGTGTGTGTGTGTGTGTGTGTGTGTGTGTGTGTGTGTGTGTGTGTGTGTGTGTGTGTGTGTGTGTGTCGGCCTGCCTGTGTGAGGATGACGAGCACCTTTAACATCTTCCTCTCTCTGTTTGGTCTTCATCATCTGTGTGAATCAATCTGCTGGTTTTTCCTGGAGGATCAAACTGATGTAGTTTGATCAAAGCAGTAATTTAACGTCTTAAACATCCTCAAAGTCAATGTGTTTCAGACTGCTTCACCAACTGAGCTTTAAAACATGAATAACAAGCCAACCATCCAGTCTGTCTGCGGTTTATTCACAGTTCTGTGACAGTTTGGATCTGCATGATGGTATCGGAGTGAAACCTGCTGCAGCTCTGGCTGCGTCCACACAGCGCCGCTTGATGCTAAATTCAGATTATTGTTGTTATTTTTTTTGTTGTGTGTTTTTTTACTGCTGCAGCAAGAAGCCTGGCTTCTTCTGCTGCAGAAATGTGATGCTTCTCTATTTTGCTGTTATTTCCACAACTTTTCTCTGTTACTAAGCAACAAAATGCAGCCGATACATTTTGGCTGAATATGTGAAATTTCCAATAGCAGAAGGGATTTCTTGTTGTCTCATGTTTATTGGCACCAGTCATTGGTGCACCACTGCCACCAAGTGGCATGGAGTCCAACTGCATGTTTTTGTTTTTTGTGTGGTGTTGTGTGTGTGTGTGTGTGTGTGTGTGTGTGTGTGTGTGTGTGTGTGTGTGTGTGTGTGTGTGTGTAGGAGGTGTAACATCATGTGTTACTCCTCCTACACAGCCCCAGCTCACCAAAGGCGTTGATGAAATGCAGACACTTTGAAAACAATCTGATTTGTATCAGATTTTTTTCCATTTACATGATGATAATATTTAATGATTGTTGATCATCAGTTGGAGTTTCTGATTTAATCAGCCTCTCACACAACAGTGTGAGGTTTGCTCTGGTTTCCTCAGTCAATCTGAGGACTGAATGATTTTCTCCATAAGAAGTCACATTTATTTACAATCCTGTCATGAAACTCAGCAAACTGATGCCTCAGAGTCTCTTTCTGTGATTTCTCTGTGATTATTCACTGGAATCCTGACTGTTTGCAGCCATTTGAAATGTTTTCCAGGTGTAACTAGTAAATATATCCTGGCTTAAAGCATTTTTGCAGTAAACTGATTTGTTTGTGCTTTGTTCAGGTTTGTGTCGTTGCAGCCTGTCAGGTTTCCAGCTTCAGAGGAATGTTGTTTCTGCTGTTGTTGGCCTGGTAAAGCGCCTGTCGGATCAAAAAGCTTGACTTGTGCACATCAAAGCTTCCCCTGAGTGGTTGTGCAGCATTGTCTCTGGCTTCCCGTCTCCTGCAGGTTCCTCCCCCCGCGCTGTCCATGTGATTCACGTCTCTGCATCAGAGCACGCAGCGCAGAGCGGCTTGCAGGCTGTGTTTCTATCCGGGTCAGGCCAGGTGAGCCATCAGCGCCGGCCAGCGAGCAAGACGCTGGAAAATCTGAGCAGAGCAGCAGGAACCTGAAGACAGAACAGCAAGGCTCTGAGTCAGGGGTGTCCACAGTGCGGCCCGGGGCCGTTTGAGGCCTCAGACTGAACTTGTCTGAGGCCTACACATTGCAAAAACAAAATCCTAACAGGTTTGTTGTAGTTTACAGTGTAAATATCTCAGTACACTTCAAAACTAACTTACAAAATAACCTTGATAGTGATGTTAGCATCAGTAGTTGTAGTGGCACTGATAGCTGTAGTAGCATTGTTAGCAGTCCTAGTGGTGATAACATTGGTTGCGCTGTTAGTATTAGTAATGCTAATAGCATTGGTAGCACTGTTAGCATTGGTAGCACTGTTAGCATTGGTAATGCTGTTAGCATCGGTAGCGCTGTTAGCATCGGTAACGCTGTTAGCATTGGTAGCACTGTTAGCATTGGTAACGCTGTTAGCATTGATAGCACTGTTAGCATTCGTAATGCTGTCAGCATTGGTAGCACTGTTAGCATCGGTAGCGCTGTTAGCATTGATAGCACTGTTAGCATTCGTAATGCTGTGCTGGTAGCAAGCATCGGTAGCGCTGTTAGCATTGGTAGCTGTGACAGTGGTCCCTTGGGGCTGACTGCACATCCAGAAGATTCTTTCAGAAACGGACTCAGGAGTCCTGAGATTCCTGCAGCTCGGCGCCGGCGCCCAGCTCCGCTGCGTTTCTGCTGGCGGCCATGATGCTCATCACTGCCATGGAGCCTCAGCTCATCACCAGAACCTCTGCAGGGAGACGCTCGTCCTCCGGGTTTCATCTGCGAATGAAGCTCAGCTGAATGTTTGGACTCAGGAGAGTCCATCAGGACATGTTTGGAAATCCGCATGTCAAAAGGCAATCTGCCTAATAAATGTCAAGATGGTTCACTTTATGCGACATTGTTCCTGCTGCGCCTGCGGCGGCTCGTGTCCTATGTAACTGCTTGCCTGCGATCCTTTAAAGAGCACCGCAGGAGACCTGTTGCAGCTGCAGACTGGAAACTAATCACATTCTAACCTTCATGGTCACTTTTTAGACATCTTCATCTCCACGTCCAACGCTGCTGTTTCCCACAGATGGAGGTTTTTGCGTCACATAGATCAGCTTACATGTAGTAAATCTGAACACAGCGCTCAGCAGGCTGACTTTGACTAGGCCTGCTGGGATCGGTGGCCTTTCTGCTCCGCGCTCTCTCAGAGACCTTCACGCCAAACACGATCAGGCCAGCCGGATTCGGAGCCGCTCCCTCCCTGTCCCTGCGGCAGCGTCTCTGCTCCGAGGCCAGGCGTCTTCCTGAGGTCACATCCTGCGCTTCACTGGATGTTTGCATTCCGAGGGTCCAGATGATCACAGAAAGCAGATGGTGGGTCAGAAAGCCGCAGCGGGCGTAAACACTTGAAACAAATGGCTTCGTGTTTGAGCTTCTGCTGAAGTGAGCAGAAGCTGAAAGATTCAGTTGATGTTCTTGATGTTCAAAGATCTGCTGCAGATGTTTCAGATTCTGGTTCTAGTCGAGGATTTCCTCTTCGTTTCTGAATGAAGCGAGTAACGAGGATTTTCTCTGGATGCTGAGACGATGGAAATGCTGATGGTTTCTCTCAAACTGATGGTGAGATGCAGAAACCTCTCATATTTATTTGGAAATCTGATTTAGTTTGAAGGTGTGGACAGGAAGACGCCGGACACGTGGCTGGAGGATCTGGGCCAAGGGGTCGGATGGGAGTCCTGATGGACGGACATGGAAACATCCAAGATCCAAAGCTTTTAGCTGAGATGACTCAGAATAATGTTTCCTTTTTTCCTCCACTGAAGTTTTTCTGTGATGTTCAGTTTTCCTTGGAGATCATGGCGAGTGGAGAGTGAAACGGACAGAAACTGCAACCAAACAAACATTTGTGGAAAAATGACCCAAAGTGAAACTTTTGTATTTATTCTTTAATATGAAAACTGAGGAATCGGGATCCAAGACAAAACCTTTCCTGCTGCTTCCAGATAGAAGCTGCAGCCGTGCAGCGGCCGGTTCTGACCCGGCTGGATGCTAGCGGCGTGTTCGGTCTGATGAGGCTTGGCGCTGTCATGGCGGCTCCTCTGGCGGCCTCCTTTATGACCCGCCTCATGTGTTTGCTGTCTGGTGCCAGATATGCTAATCATCTGACTTGGGCCACTTGATCTCCATTCATATGCATGAGAGCTTCGCTCCGGTCCGGTTCAGCTTCGCTCCCGTCCGGTTCAGCTTCGCTCCGGTCCGGTTCAGCTTCGGCTCGTCTTCCCCGCCTGGAGCCCCTCGGCTCACGCTGATTAACGGCTCACAGATCGGCTACAATCATCTGTTCATTCAAAAAGCCCTGAAAATGGCTTTAATTCAGCTGAACTGAACGTAGAAATAAATTATTCTGGCGGTTAATCAATAACAGCACTGCTCTGCTGGGCTGAGCCGATTAGCTATGGCTAACTGGCATATCTCAGCTAGCTAGTTTGATTTATTTGTTTTTACAGTTTGCTTCTTTTACCTACTATGAACAACATTGTAGTTCATCACATTTAAACCCTGAGAAGAATATAAATTATAAAATATATTTTTAATTTTGGCAATTTTATCCACTGAGTTGTTTTTGCTAACTAGCTTGACGATAAGCTAACAAAATGATCTGATACTGAAAGACAAATGTAGCTAAATTTATCAAGTTTTGAAAACAAAATTTGAATCTATAGAAAAGAAAATTGCTGAACCTTTTCATTTTAATACTGTGTGACAAATTACAACGAATAGTGAAGGTATAACAATGAAAATATCATCAATTAAAAGCCAAACCGATTATTCAAAATATTCTTAATAAAAAATTTTCTGACAGAATCTGAACCAGGAGAAGTTAAAACTATTTTAGAGAAGTTCTAAGAAGATTTATTTTGATCTTAAATGTTTGTATTTCTGGACAGTTTTGGGTTCATTTCTGCTCTGAATCTGTTGCTCTTTCTGCAAGCAGCTTTTTAGTAGTTAATCAACTACTAAATAAACTGATGTTTGTTCACTAATCAATTAATCCAGGTTAATTATTTGAGTCTGCATTTATTTACCATTTTCTATCCTTTTAGTGATGTTTTTAAATAGATGTCAGACTTTATGAAAGTTTGTCTGGTCTAGTTTCAGAACCAATTAATTCACTGAGCCATAAAAAGACTCCTGAACTCAAAGGATGAGCAAATAACTGACTGAAACTGACCAGTTTCTCCAGCTTTATCTGTAAACTAACGGTGATGCTGGCAGCTATTTCTGTCTCATGTTGCCCATGTGAGGGAATCTCCAGATCCAACGGCTCTGAGTGATAAGTGTCTGAATCGCCCGTTTATTATTTCCAGGTAGTTTCCATTAGCGTGTAATTCTGGCGACAGCGGAGCCGGCCGGTAACAAAGGGCCGAAAGCATCCATTAATCAGGACCGAGGGGGACGGCCATGCATGTGGAGCCTGAAAATGAATTTTTAATGGTGTATCTGAGCGTGATGGATCTCATGTGTTAACGTGTCGCATCAGGCGAGCGAGGTGAGACGCCGCTTTGTTCTGAGATATTGAATCTCCAAACATCTCCATCTCCGCTCACAGCTTACGGCCGGCTGCTCTGCCGCCCCCGGACCCTCCAGAAGGTAACCTGATGCTGCAGCTGCAGCGGTTTGGAGGAAACGGCTGCTGTGACCTGCAGAGCTGCTCATCAGGGAGGCAAAAAACCACCACATGCAGATCTGACACATTCTTTACAAAAATACGCTCAGATTCCACCAGTTTCTTACCAGAGCCATGAAACTGAAAACTAGCAGACAGTTAGCTAGCTTATAAATTATATAAAATAATGCCAAAAAGCACCAATAATGCAGAGTCTCAAACGGAATACTGTGAGGTTTTGTGGCAAAATGTCAACAACTTCAGGTTGTATTAATAATTGGTGCAAATTTCGCTTCAAACTCTTCACACTTTGTTTTCTGCTCATAATTAAATGAATTTTAACTCAGTTGGTGAAGCACTGATTCTGAAAAGATTGTGATTCCTGACGAATCATTGATTTAATTAGCTGAATTTGACCCGGTAACGTAGTGATGCTGGCTGCTGTTTCTTATTTGGAATTATTTCTTTATTCCAAATAAATCAAATGGAAAACAAAAACCAGCATCCTGGTTTTCCTCATATGGTCGTACAGTTTTTTTTTTTTTTTTTTTTTGCTTTAAACCTGTGAAAATGTTTTAGATTTTGTTTACAAAAGAGGAAAAAGTCAAAGGTACTTGTTGCATTTTTCCAACGTTTGATGGGAAGGGATTAAGTTAAACTAGACGAACCTGAAATCTTAAATGTGTTTTTTTTTTTTATTTGTGCCTGTTAGAGTCTAATGTGAGTTTTTGCATCTGGACTCTTTTCTGAGCTTTTTCCTCCGTTTCCTGCCTGATGATTTTGGTTTCCAGCCCTGTAACTGTGTTTGAGTCTTTCTGATGGCGCCTGCACCAACATGGCCGCCGCGGCGCCTGCACCAACATGGCCGCCGCGGCGCCTGCACCAACATGGCCGCCGCGGCGCCTGCACCAACATGGCCGCCGCGGCGCCTGCACCAACATGGCCGCCGCGGCGCCTGCACCAACATGGCCGCCGCGGCGCCTGCACCAACATGGCCGCCGCGGCGCCTGCACCAACATGGCCGCCGCGGCGCCTGCACCAACATGGCCGCCGCGGCGCCTGCACCAACATGGCCGCCGCGGCGCCTGCACCAACATGGCCGCCGCGGCGCCTGCACCAACATGGCCGCCGCGGCGCCTGCACCAACATGGCCGCCGCGGCGCCTGCACCAACATGGCCGCCGCGGCGCCTGCACCAACATGGCCGCCGCGGCGCCTGCACCAACATGGCCGCCGCGGCGCCGCCGGAGCGAATGGGACCTGCATGTCTGCTGTCGCTCTGACAGCTCATGTTGCATTTTGGTCTCCCGTCTTTCCTTCTTTTTGATTTAATTTTGTGTTTGTAAGCGACTGTGTGTCTGTTGTTTCTTTTTTCGTTTGTAACCTGAATGGAACGAAAACGGGGGAAAAGCAGGTTCATTCTGTGTGCATGTGCTTTCCCTCTAGACTCTGGCTGCCCTAACGAGAAATTCGATAAATCTGCTTCCAAACCATCTTGCACAAGCTTTGCATGTCCACTCTGGTCCTGAGGAAATTAACAAGCGAATAGAGAGTGCCATCGACTTACGGAGTGGCGATAAGTTGAGAAGAGAGCATATCAAGCCTTTCTCACTGATGTTTAAAGACTCCAGCCTGGAAGAGAAGGTAGCTGGGGTTTGAGATAGATCCATGTTTTCTCCTCTCTCTCCCTCCTCATACCTACTTCTGAGATTTATAAAAACCAAAACATGACACCAATTTTATCCAATCATGAGTAAGCTAAAGGCACTTACATTGGTTTATTGCCTTTATTAATTTCGCCATATTCACACGAATCCCTGAATAAAAACAAGCTGACAAAATGAGGACAAATTTTCAGTTTGAGGATTTGGATTTAAAATATTTGGTGTGTAAAGTGTGCCATCAGTAATCTGTGTTCTACTATAGAAAGTTATTAACTTTTTAGTAAAAAAACTAACTATTTGAGTAACGACTAAACAGATCCAATCATTTTTCTGAACTTGAGAACAAATATTATTCTGTAAAAGGAAAATAAAGTTATTTCTTTATTCCAAATAAATCAAATGGAAAACAAAAATCTGGAGAAGCTTCGCTTCGAGGGAAGTTATTTCCAAATGAGATATTTTAGCATAAATTTTGTTTTGTTTAGGTTAGAATTTGTGAGATAAAATAATAAATTTGCGATTTCAGTGGCACACTTGGACTCCATACAGAAAAATTGGTCTGTAAAAATTCACCCTGATAAAATCCAGATTTTCTGAGTATTTTAGGAAAATCTAAAAAAGATTTATCACTCATATTTTAACTGTAATAATCACAGAACAGATGTTTTGTTTTTGTTTTCTTTACCACAGCGTAGAGACGCCCCTTCAGTTTACTCATGACCAAAACCTTTGCACCATGGAACTATGGGAAATGTTACAGTTCTGTGGACAAAATTGACCAGATCAGCTTCATTTTTAAATTATTATTATTTTTCTCTTATCTTTTGATCACTGCATTCAGTAAAAAAAACAAACATGAGCCTTGTCTAAAACAATGTTTATATTCAAGTCCTGAATATTTGAAATTGAATTTTTATTAAACACGATTAATAACCAGGATATAGATGAATAAAAAGTATGAATGATCTTTTCTTTGCTGAATGCAGTCTCCTTTTGCACATCTTCTTTATATTTTTCCGTTTTGTTTTTGTTGCTTTTGAGTTCATATTGGCTTCCATACTTTGTGTTTTATCACCATCCCCCAAAATTACCTTCATTTGAATATTTAATTTGTTCATCTGATTAACCTGTAAACCTCCTCAGTAAATGTGCAGTGATTTGTTGTCGGCTCCCTTCATCCTCCTTTATAATTTCTTTCATTTTTCTTTCTTTAATTTCTTTTTTTACTTTTTGCCAAAGTTGTGACCGAACGTGAAGCATCCTCTTGCTAATTTCCCAGCACCCTTGAAGAAAGAGACAGCGGGTCGGGGCAGCAGGCGGTTTGGGGGCAGCAGGCGGGTCGGGGGCAGCAGGTGGTTTGGGGCAACAGGCGGGTCGGGGGCAGCAGGCGGGTCGGGGCAACAGGCGGCGGGCAGCAGGCGGTTCGGGGGCAAAAAGGGCCAATAATCTGAGCCACACTGTCCTGAATGTTTACACATTTAACCGAAGGTTTGAAACAGGCCTTTGTTTCTTTAAGCAGAAAATTTAAGTATATTATTATTATTATTAAATAAGTTTTTTAGTTGGATGATTTTCTTTGCTAAAGTTTGGTTGTGGCTAATTAGCATAGCTTAGCTCTAATTTTTAAACATGTTTCTTTATTTTTTGCTACTTTTATCTATATTTAGTAAGATTGTATTTATCAGTCATTATATTTAAACCCTTGGAGGAAAATAAATTTGTCGTTATTTCTGATAACAATCTTAAGGAAAAGTGTGTTAAATACAAATGCATTGATCAAATTCTGAATACAAAATCAGTTTTTCTGTTCCTGTTTAGTTCATTTCTGTTTGACAAAATAAACCAAGTAAAGAAGGCAAAACATAAAGGCACCAAATTAATGTCTTTGCATTTTTGCGCTTTATTTTGTAGTTGTTAATTAGCAGGGCCATAACAACATGTAATGAACTAATTTTCGTGAATCTTCAGTCCATGTTTCAGGTTCAGGTTTATTTTGGCTCAGCGCTCTCTGTTGGGTCTCGGTTAACATCTGAAACGCTCTCAGCGAGCATCGTGTCTGTGAGCTTCGCTCCTTCCCCAGGACCCTCAGCTGACCCACCAGCTCCTGTCTCTCTCTGACGCTTGTGGTCGACCGAGTCGCAAGCACCCGCTGCAGAGCATCCGCTGCAGAGCATTCGCTGCAGAGCATCCGCTGCAGAGCATCCGCTGCAGAGCATCCGCTGCAGAGCATTCGCTGCAGAGCATCCGCTGCAGAGCATCCGCTGCAGAGCATTCGCTGCAGAGCATCCGCTGCAGAGCATCCGCTGCAGAGCATCCACTGCAGAGCATTCGCTGCAGAGCATTCGCTGCAGAGCACCCGCTGCAGAGCATTCGCTGCAGAGCATCCGCTGCAGAGCATTCGCTGCAGAGCATCCGCTGCAGAGCATCCGCTGCAGAGCATTCGCTGCAGAGCATTCGCTGCAGAGCATCCGCTGCAGAGCATTCGTGTGTTTGGCGCGTTTTGGCTCGTCCAGTCCTCTCTGTTTGTCTGAAAGCCTGTTTCTGCCCCTCACCTCCTCTTCCTCCTGCTTCTCTCTTGGTCTCTCTGTCCCTGTGCAGTACTCACAGATGAGGGACGAGGTTTTCAAGTCCAACCTGGTCTGCGCCTTCATCGTGCTCATCTTCATCACGGCTATTCAAAGCCTGCTGCCCTCTGCCAGGTAAGGGAACATCAGACAGCAACAGTTTCCTCAACATGAGGAACAAATGGATCAGAGAGAAACAAGAGCAGCGGAAGAACTGGATAAATATCCTACTGTCAAATGTATCTGAAAAAGGTCTAATTATACAATCTGCATCGCCGCATTAGGGCAATAAACTTCCTCCATAGAATCAGGGAATCTATCAGTTTCAGAATAAAACATCTTCAGCTTTTGAAGTCAAAAGTTCTGACATTTTTTGTCTCAGATTTCAGAAATTAATCTCAAAATCTTTAGCAGATTTTCAACTTTTCAATCAGATAAAGCGATGGAGTTTTCTCAGGCAACAAAAAAAAGTCTGATTTCAGTTTTCAGGTATTTTCTGCGTCGTTTCCAGACGGAGCAGCTGCTCGTTTAGTGGCTCAGGACTCTGGCAGGGAATGGGTTGAGATGCTGGAAATGGTTTTATTTCCTCTTTTCTCTGAGCCTCAGCGGGATTCTCATGTCCTGAAGTTAAAATCTGAACATATTAGAGCTTCTTCAGACCCTCTTTAAGAGTCACTGGCTGTTTAAAATAGTCATGTTTTTGTTAAGTCTGTTTTTTGTGCAGAATGGTGACGATGGTGATCCAGTTCTCGGTCCTCATCGTTCTCCACTCCTGTCTGGTTCTGGTCACGACGGCGGAGGACTACAAGTGTCTGCCTCTGGTTCTGAGGAAAGCCTGCTGCTGGATCAACGAGACGTACGCGGCGCGGAACGTCATCATCTTCGTCTCCATCCTCATCAACTTTCTCGCCGCAATGATCAACATTGTAAGAGGATTAAAAAGAGAAGAGAAATGTTTATTTCTTCCTTCTAGCTTTGAGATTTCCACGTCTGACAATGATTTTATTTCCACCATCGACTGTTTGCCTACAAAACAAAAAATGTGTCTTTTGTATCTTTTTGTTCTGAAAGGTTTTCAGAACCATCTGTTTTTTTTAGATGTAGTCAAAGTCCAAAAGTTTAATACCACATGCAATATTTGTAGTTTATACATTATTTATCCAAATTAGCTTCATTACTGAAAACTAGATGATGGGGAAGTGAGTCCAGTGTGATTCCTGGTATGTGTTAAATATGCATCAACAGGCATTAGTGGTAGATGTTCACACCATCATGACCCAAAATCACTCAGAGACCCGATTTCAGCAGGTAGACGTGGAAATGAAGTTATGATTGGAAATCTGATCAATGGATGCAGATTGTATAATTAGACCTTTTTCAGATACATTTGACAGTAGGATATTTATCCAATGGATCTGTCTCCACCGACAGCCGAGGGAATGAATCTCCTCAGTGCATCCAAAACTTTAATGCAAGTAAATATTTCCAACAGCAAAATGAACAGAAAGACTGAGATTCTTGTTGATAAAACGCATTTCTCCTCTTTCTCAGCTGATTTTGCTGGTTGAAATGATCCTCCCCGTTTGTGTCTCTCCCAGCTGTGGTGCGACTTCGACAAGTCCAACACCTTCAGGAACCAGACGTACAACGAGTCTGCCTCCATCCCGGACATCTGCTTCTACCCAGAGGTACCAACGAGACGAGGTGTCGCTTCTGCGGTCCGCTCCGTCTGTTGTGCTTTCTCGCCTCTGCGTCGGCGGACAGCCGCTCGCGTCGCGGGAGGTCTCGCCTCGGACGCGGCAGCTGATCAGAGCGTCACGTGGAAAACATCCATCATGTTGTTTTGCTCTCACAGTTTGCAGCTGATTGATGGAGCCAATAACGAGGCTCGTTTTTACAGCCGCAGGCTCGGCTGAGTCATGTCGCTGCATGTATACATCATAAATTTATTTCCTCCTGAGGCTCCGCAGGTACGACCTGCTCTGCAGCCACTCTGGCTCTGCTTTTAGCTGCAGACAAATAAGAAAATGCTGCATATTGGATTTAATATTTCATGAGCAGGCAAAGCAGAAACCTCTCAAATAAAGGGCAGTTTAGTAGTTTTGGTTTATTACGGCTCAGCAGGGGGTGTGCGCTGAGCCCAGAGGAGCTGGGGATTCAATCAGGAGCTCATAAAAGTTATTTTAGTTTGTACCCAAAGTTTACATTAATAACAGAAACTGGGAGGTTTAGTTTATATGCAGAAAGTTTAAAATAATCTTCAGTTGAATTTTAGGTTCAGGAAACTGAAGACCTAAAAACAAAAACCTCCAGAGAATCATGTCTTCATTATGAAAGAGTTATAAAAGCTAATTAATTAGACAGATAATCTGATTCTGTATTGTTGTTTTGACTCCTAGTGGCTGTTTGTGGTATTACAGCATAACTGAGAAACTGGAACCTAATTAACTATTATAAATTAATTCTTTTTAAATGATTTAATTTAAGGTGAGAATTTTACAAATTTCTAGATTAGTTTTATTTCCTTATTATTAATTAGTACGTAAATAAATCTGATAATTATTGGTGACTTTGGAGGGTTTAATTTAATTTCTGGTCGTTATTTAGATAGTAATCAGTTTATTCTCTGATTCATATGAAGCCAGCTGCTGTTGGTTCATATTCACATTTGGTTAAGTATGAAGTGACCATTAGATGATGATCTTTCACTAATATTTCAGATGAATCTCATGCAGTGTGACTCTCTGCATCCTGGCTCAGATGTTTTCGCCCCCTGCTGTTCGCCTGCTGGGATCATGCAGGTGCATCTGAACGCTGGTTTGTTTCCTCGCAGTACTTCGTGTTCACGGGCGTCCTGGCCATGGTCACCTGCGCCGTGTTCCTGCGGCTCAACTCCGTGCTGAAGCTGGCCGTGCTGCTGCTGATGATCGCCATCTACTCCCTGCTGACCGAAGCCTTCTACACCTCGCTGTTTGTGCGCTACGACACCGTGCACCACAACACGGAGTGAGTCGTCTGCGCAGCTGGAGCCCTGACCGGACCGCCTGTCATGGCGGCCGTGTTGGACACCTCGCCTGCTTTGCTTTCTGAATGTCCACTTTGTTTTTGATAATATTTGGTATTTACTGTCAGAAGATTATAGCAGAAAAGTAAAACACCAGCAGAGTTTGAAGTGAAGTTTCCAGGCTGAACTCGGCGTTGACAGGATTAAATCCCTGACATTATTTCAAACAGAGGCAGCAGGATTAATGTTAAATCTTTACATTTCTGATATTTAAAGGTTTATTTGTAGTATTAGGTAGAGAACAGTTTCCTCATCAGTCAGGATCATTTCACATCCTTTCAGGGTGAAAAACGTCTGCAGGCAGAAGCATGAAGACGGTTCTGCAGAAATGTTTTCATATCTGAATCCAAAAGCACAAAGGAGGATTTATGGACTTCATCTGAATGATTCCTTCTCTTACCTGGTTTCCTTCCAGAGGAACGTTCTGCTCTCCTCCAGATTCACTTATTTTGTTTTTGCAGATGTTTTTGTGTGACGGTTGAAGCGTGACCTTCTGCACTGAATCAAACCTCAGCATGAAAACTCAAGTCTCAGCGTCTCAGACCTGATTCCTGTTTCTAGCAGTAAAAACACTAAAAACGTTTATTATTTTGAAGTTTGCGTTTCTACGTTTGAGCTGATAATCCTCAGATGGAAACAAACATTCGCCTCAAGTTTTTTACAAGATTTGATTCCTACTTTTACATTTTGCTGCAGTTTTACATAAAGTGAGACGTTTCTCTACCAAAGTTTGACTCTGATGGGATTTTGTTGCATGACTTTAATCTTTTAGTCGACTAAAGTGCAACATCTTATTTTGTCTTCCTTCAGAAACTTTCTGGGAACCAAAGAGACGTCTCTGCTGCTGATGGCCATGTTCCTCCTCGCCGTGTTTTACCACGGTCAGCAGGTAAAACCGGATCCTCTCCAAACACAGACTCCTCTCTCTTTAACGGTCAGATTTCAGCCTCATGTATTTCAGTTCAATAAGTTGAGGTTTCTTCCTGAGGAAGCCCGTCTTTCCTTACATGCATGCAGCGACAGTGGAGAGAAAAACCTCCAGCAGAACATCCCAGCTGATGGCGTCCTCCAGGACGGAGCCTCAGCCAATCAGAACGCCAGAAAACGGAACGTTAGCGGTTTAACGAACAACCAATAATGTAAATCGGAGAGCAGTAGGAGAAGAAAGAGCCGACCCGACGGGAGCAGAACCACAGGATCCGATCTGCGCCCATCGCCATGGAAACAAAGACACTTCATTTTGTCATCCAGAGAAAATTTAGCACAAAATGAAACCATGAAGTGACGCTGAAGCAGTTAGAGATTGGTTCCCTCAGCAGGGGGCCCAAAGAGGAGATTACACTTATCAAGCTACGCTTCAATGGATCCATCGGTTCTGCTCCTCATTGGATCGGGTTCCTGCCGGTTCTGACTGCCGGTTCTGAACTCTGGTCCGGCTTCCAGGTGCTGCAGCCGCAGAGCAAATTAAAGCCAGTCGATTCATTTCAGACAAACATCTCCTGCTGTGCTGCAGCTAATTGGAAAGAGAAAAAAAGCTTCACCACAAATGAGCTGATCTACTCGACCATTAAATTAAAAAGCATAAAGTAATCTAACATAGTTTTTTCACAATTAAAAGTTTGGATCAGCGATTTATTCCTCTGAGCTCCTGCATGTTCAGCTGTACAGATCTGCAACTTATTACATAATCACAGTTTATTAGACGATGATAATAAATCAATTCAGTCCAGAAAGAGAAACTGATCAGATGAATAAATCCATTCATCAATGATTTCGGCCAATAAACACAGATATTTATTTTATCTGCTATATAATTACTTAAGACACAGAAATGTAAACATTTTGTGCCGTTAGACGTTGATGTCATTCAGATTCAGTTGGTTTTAAATGCTGCAGTTTTCTAATTGATCTGTTCCCTCGGTCCGAAGTACCAAGTACTCTGATTACAAATAGCAGGGAGGGATTACTTCCCTGCAAAGTTCCCGCTAAACGCTTGAACCGACGTTCAGGCAGAGAAAACGTTGATTTTTGGTTTCTGCTGTTGGATTATCTGGATCTCCTCTGATATTGATCGTTATTGGTTGTCATCATGTTACCTGACAGGTGATAACGAGCAGCGTTTGTCTGATGTTGAGTTCTGCTCCAGTTTTTGGGTTTTCCGCTGGCCTCTGGTTCTGCTGATGTTCCTCAGATTGTGGGACTGAAACCGTTTCCCTGAGCAGCAGTCGCTCTCTGAATCTTTCTGGATATTATTTTTATCTTCACGCCGTAAACAGGAGCAGAACCAGCCGGCCCGTTTCAGGGGCCTGACGCGCCGCAGCGTCCATCCTGCCGTCTGGAGTCCGGCTCCGCCGCCGCCCGCCGCTTTCATGCTCTCGCTATGGCAAACTGGCAATCACAGTTTTACAGCCAGAAATTCAATTAAATCCATTCAGACTGAGAAAAATGTCAGTTTAGTTAAATTAACAACAAACTAAACATTTGACTGGAATTAAATCTGGTCGGATTTAATCTGAGTTAGACTTTCAGCCAATCAGAAGTGAATTTAAAGCCATTTCTAATAAGTAAATCAGTAATAATGCATCTTATTCTGCAGGAAGAAAGGATTTTCTCTAAAAAGCCTCTTTTATGACTCCATTTGTATTTGATGACACGTACAGCCAGTTTCACTGAGTACATTTTATTGAGTTTAAATTAAAAGCAGCTCTGAGGTGGTTGCTGCTCTGTAATTAGTCTGATGACTGTTAGTGGAAACGCGTGGTTCTGATTGTGGAAAACGTGCGTGAAGCTGCGGCGCCTCTCAGGGCCTCGTTGAAGCGACTCTCCAGTGATTCTGTTTGTGAGGAGATCAGGAGCCAATTAAAGCCTTTTCCTCCACAACCTGCTTCTCTCAGACTCTTAACTCTGATTTGCTCCTTGAGAAATGCCGGGCTTGCTGGCGATGTCTTGAGAATAGCTGTTTGCTGATGCTACTGTTCATAAATTGATCCTCTTTCTGATGCAGGCAAACAAATGTTAGAAAGATCTGAGATCTTCTAAATGTTTCACTGCGTTCTCCAGGTAACTTTCAGGCCAATAAAGAGCCAATCAGCTGATTTACTCCCATTTTCATACATTTCTGATTCAAAGCGTCGTCTCAAACGTTCTGCTCTTGGCTCCGTGTTTTAACTGGCAGTAAAGATTTTCTCCTGTTCGCTGTTGTTCCTTCATCTGAATGGATGGAGACGTTAGTCAGACGCTGATCGTCTCTGGAGCAGCAGATGGTCGGTCCAGATGGGAGTGGGTTCTGCTGACACATCCATCACACTCATTTACTCAAGACGTGTTTATTTGTAACTTCAATAAACACTGGGTAACAAATCCAGACTTCTTTCTCTCTGATTATCGTTCAACTCATCAGCAGAACAAGAGTTTAGAAATCAAGCGGCCATTTTGGGAAAAGACTTTCCTGCTGATGTGAGTTGAGACGGCCATGAAGCCCGAGCTTCATTATTTACAAATAATAATGACTTTAACCTGTTAAAACAGAAATGAGTCATTTACATTTTAACCTACTTTATGTTCGCTTGTTTCTCTCGGCCCAAAGAGTTTAGTTTCTGTTTCTGCTGATCTGATTGGACGCTGTAAAAAGCTAATGTTGTGTTCAAGTTGTGCTAACAGGAGCTAGCCTGTCAGTGAAGCTATGCTAGCCCATAGTAGCGTCTCGATGCTAAACATGTAGCATTAGCGCAAACATGAACAACTGAACAACTGACCAAAATCAATCAATATCTTTATTATTGAGCTCAAATATCTATTCAATAATTTATAGCAAAACTTGTTTTTGAATCGAAACTGTTGTTTATTTTGTTGTTATAGTTTATGGTTGAATTGATACATTTCTGGACTTCCTGTGCGGTTTGTGTCTCATGCTGGACGTTAATTGGACAGAAAACTGGATGAAGTTTCTCTCCTGATGAGGCGACTAATCGATTCCCTGATCAATCGGAAGAAGATCAGAAATCCTTCCAGGCTCATCGTCCTGCCCTGGAAATCATTTTCAGCTTCCTCCCTTCTGCAGGCGCTCGCCGCTTGTTTGGCTCTAATTTATTCATGTGACTTTGTATTAATCGTTAATTCAAAAAAGCTAATTGAGTTGCCTCTTAAAATACTTGAGCTGCTCAGCAGATTGATGGAATAGTCCTGCACTGCAGAGGTGATTAAATATTTTAATTTGCCTGCCTGTGAATTCAATCATCTCATTTATGTAACACTTTGCCCTGAACTTCACTTCTAATCTGCTTTTTATGGAACAAGTTGCTGGGCTGAGGCGTCAGGAAGCTCCGGCTTTATTCTCTAAACTTCAGCAGCTGGACGTTTATTTTTAACGGCCTGTAAAACATCTGCTCACCGAAAAGCAGAAATCACTTTATTATTGTGACATGAGCCTCTCAGGAAGATTCTTACTAATGAAAAGTTTTGACTTGGATGAGAAAACAGCTGAAATATTCGACCTTGACGTGCAGAAAGCAAAGTTTCCTCAGTCGGCCTGAGATGAGATAAAATACAATTTAATGCTTCTAACTTTAAATAAGTCATTATTTCAACTGGATAAAATGAATGAAAGTATAAAAATGCTGTGTTTTTAAAACGTGAGGACAGTTTTCAGTTCAGTTTTAATTACAATAAAAAGTTAAAACACCTCAAATAAAGATTAAAGAACTTAAAATTATTTTTGTCTCTTGTTAAATCAACTGGATAAAATTTGATTTCTGACTATAAACTGAGATAATTACCTAGTAGACTTAAGTTAAGCCAGGCTCTGTTTTACAGTGTAACGCTGGAGCCAAAGCGAAACCAGGAGCTTTTATTACATTTTTTTATTTATTCAGATTATTAATAATTACTGATTTTTTTCCTACAAACTGTTTTCTGCTTATTGTCACTGTTTCTTTTCCAAATGTTTCAGATTAACCTGCAGTTTATGAAAATTCGTTTGCAGTAGTAACTGAAACTCCGGCCGGACCTGCGGCGCTCCGGCCGGACCTGCGGCGCTCCGGCCGGACCTGCGGCGCTCCGGCCGGACCTGCGGCGCTCCGGCCGGACCTGCGGCGCTCCGGCCGGACCTGCGGCGCTCCGGCCGGACCTGCGGCGCTCCGGCCGGACCTGCGGCGCTCCGGCCGGACCTGCGGCGCTCCGGCCGGACCTGCGGCGCTCCGGCCGGACCTGCGGCGCTCCGGCCGGACCTGCGGCGCTCCGGCCGGACCTGCGGCGCTCCGGCCGGACCTGCGGCGCTCCGGCCGGACCTGCGGCGCTCCGGCCGGACCTGCGGCGCTCCGGCCGGACCTGCGGCGCTCCGGGACCTGCGGCGCTCCGGCCGGACCTGCGGCGCTCCGGCCGGACCTGCGGCGCTCCGGCCGGACCTGCGGCGCTCCGATCGGACCTGCGGCGCTCCGATCGGACCTGCGGCGCTCCGATCGGACCTGCGGCGCTCCGATCGGACCTGCGGCGCTCCGATCGGACCTGCGGCGCTCCGACCGGACCTGCGGCGCTCCGGCCGGACCTGCGGCGCTCCGGCCGGACCTGCGGCTCCGGCCGGACCTGCGGCGCTCCGGCCGGACCTGCGGCGCTCCGGCCGGACCTGCGGCGCTCCGGCCGGACCTGCGGCGCTCCGGCCGGACCTGCGGCGCTCCGGCCGGACCTGCGGCGCTCCGGCCGGACCTGCGGCGCTCCGGCCGGACCTGCGGCGCTCCGGCCGGACCTGCGGCGCTCCGGCCGGACCTGCGGCGCTCCGGCCGGACCTGCGGCGCTCCAGGTCTGCGGGTTTGCTGACTGGGTCTGTGCTTTCAGCTGGAGTACACGGCCCGGCTGGACTTCCTGTGGCGCGTTCAGGCCAAGGAGGAGATCAACGAGATGAAGGAGCTGCGGGAACACAACGAGAACATGCTGAGAACATCCTGCCCAGCCACGTGGCCCGACACTTCCTGGAGAAGGACCGCGACAACGAGGTCCGACTTTATTTATCATAACCATGATGACAGCAGCACAGTTTGGTCTGAAGAGCTCCGCTTTGCTCTCTTAAATCTCCAGTTATTATTTCATTATCTGGAAGTTTCCCAGCAGCATCTGAATCAGCTGGAGCCGGGGCTTTGACTAGGCCGTTCCAGCCTGCTCATTCTCCTGTAGATCTGGTTTGGTGTGAGGCGTTTGGTTCCGTCTGGATGAAACGTTTGAGCTTCGTTTCAGAGACGACGCCGTCAGGCGGGACTTTGGTTTGTAATCGTCTGCAGATTAAATCGGACCTCCAGGTTTCATTTGTTGATAAAAGTTTCTGGTTATTTCCTGTTGAGATGATTTTCAGTTTCTTCCCAGATTGATGAGCAGAAACTGTTGGTTCTCTGACGTCATAAACCTTCAGAGCTGATGATCAGGAAATCAATCGGATTGATCGTTAATCGGGGAGTTTTCCTGTCCGTTCCTCTGGCAGCAGCAGGTTGAACCCGGTTCATCCAACCAGCCTTTAACTAGGACCTTATCGGGGCCTCTACCTGGAGCTGAAATGCATCACTTTTATCTCTAAAGTTGGAATAAACAGCAGAGCGTAGAAACAACCCTGTAAATATTTGGAGTCTGGTTTTCCTCCTCTGATGCTTCCCACCAAATATGCGAAGCCCAGACAGTTAAACGTGTTAAAGAGCTTCAGCGGCAGCACTGAACCCCGACTGAACCGCAAAACGCTGCCTGACGTTCTGCAGCATCGCAGCAGAACACCAAGAAATTCAATTAGTTCAACTTTAACCAAGTTTCCCTTTTGAAGTTTGGCCGTTTGGCTGAGCTCATTAGCCGAGCATAAAGCCGCTGAGGAAGCCCCATTCAGGTCAGAGGCCCATTTTCACAACCGTGTAATTACATTAAGAATGGGAGCAGCCTGCGGACAGACGCAGCTTCTCCTGAATTATTAACTTCAAAAGCTGAACTGTGGCTGGACGTTAATGTTTATCACCCTATTATTACAATGCTACCATAATGGCATGATGAATTACTGAATGTGGCATTTGGGATGTGAAGATGCTGCTTCATGTCTGCAGACCTGCTGTACGAGCTAACACTGCCCCCTAGTGGCCGATAGGCTGCACTGCACTGTGTCGTTTATTCATCAGTGATTTTGAGGAGGATGCTCTGCTTGATCAGAGTAAATTATTTCATTCATGTGAGGATATAATGAAGCTCATCTGGTTTTTACTGGGTTTTAAAGTGATTTGCATCTCATTATAAATGTGCAACAGATTCACCCTGTCATGATGTCTTGAGTTCAAATGAAAACAAAATGTGTGACCATTGCTTTCATTATGAATCACAAGGCGTGTCGAACAGCCGGGTGAAAACCTATCAGCAGTGATTGTTGCTGCCCGTCAACCTGGGAAGGTTTTCCGAAATGAACCTGGAAGGAGGGATTATTCACTGCTGGAAAAATATTTAGAAGCTGCTCATGTTCCCAGATTTGCATCCTTAAGGTTAAAACAGGACGATTTGGAAAGGAGTGAACATGTTTGGATTATCTGAGCACAGTGGATTCCTGGAGCATGAAGACGTCCTTCTGTCATTCTGAACACCAGTTTGGAGCAAAGGTCAAGCTGTGCCTTGACCTCACAGTAGTCCAAACATTTCTGCATAGCTTCATGCTAAACTCCTCATGTTCTGGGCGACAGGATGTCAGCCTGTTGAAGTTTGCAAAAGTTTTTATTCTTGAGGCGTTTTGTGGTTTTCTGAAAAACAGGTTGACTGGTGCCTTACCAGAGGCATCAACTCCAAACTCTGAGTCTGGAGAGTAAATGTCTGAGCCGTGTGTAGCGTCACCATGAGGTGAATTCATGCTCTGTGTTTCTGCTTGGTTCATTTTTTGTGGCATTTTAAGGTGATAACGACATAATGAGGCTGTGTGAGTCTAAACGCATCTGAGACCTTAAGAAAACTTTCATGCGCTGCTTAAATTTATTTCTCTGTTCTCCTCCGTCTCCCTTTGGCAGCAGTTCTGCTCTGGTTCTGTTGTGGTTCTGTTGGGCCGTACCGGGTTTGTCAACCTGGTTTGACGTGGCGTTGTAACGTCCCGGTCGTGTCGATGTCTCCTCAGGAGCTGTACTCCCAGTCCTACGACTCGGTGGGCGTGATGTTCGCCTCCATCCCCGGCTTCGCCGACTTTTACTCCCAGACTGAGATGAACAACCAGGGAGTCGAGTGTCTGCGGCTGCTCAACGAAATCATCGCCGACTTCGACGAGGTGAAGTTCAAACCGTCTGTTCGGCTGAATGGAAGACGTAAACACCATTCAGGACAAAACATGCATTTTAGAAAATACTTGAGAAGCCATTAATGTCTCTGCAGAAATGACTGATTCTGCTGGCAGGTCATCAAAAACCAATTATTGCAGGTGGCAAAGAACCACAGGGTTTGTAGCAGCACTGCTTCCTGTTCAACATCCTCTGAAGACGCAAAACTTCAGCAAAAATCTCAAAACAAGTTTCAGATGTTTAGCCTTTCTGTCCTGATCGGTTTGAATTTAAACGTTTCCTCATCAGCAGGTGGTCCAGTGTCCGTCTCCGTTGGACATTTGTCTCGGTTCAGGCAGCAGTTTGTCTCTGAGGCGCTCAGAGGAGCCCGGTCCTCAGTCACGTGTGATTTTGTGCTTCAGGTTGTTGAAAAGCTCAGTGAACGTTGTTTCTGTTGCAGCTGCTCGGTGAAGACCGTTTCCAGGACATCGAGAAGATCAAGACGATCGGCAGCACCTACATGGCCGTCTCTGGTCTGTCGCCCGAGAAACAGGTGAAGATCCACAGCAAGCAGCAAAACTGCTGCAAAAATGCTGCAAAAATGCTGCAAAAATGCTTCAACGACTCCCAGAGCGCCGCCGTTATTTCTGCTCATTCTGGTTTAAACATGTTTTAATCCAGTAAAGTTTCTCCAGCATATTTTCTATTTCAGAAACTTTTATTCCTTTAAGTAAACAGGAAGTCTGATGTGAAAGATCCTCTTCTGCAGGATTTGAATGTTTTGGAACCAGCTGCAGTTTTCTTGCTGTTGCTGTAACTTCTGGCTTCACATCTTCAGAAATTCAGTTAAAAATCTGAATTACTGAGTTTTTCCCCAGAACATACAAGAACATTCATTTATATCTGTTTTATTATGTAACTGATCACCATTTCTGACAAAAAGTCAAAATCCCACAAACAAGATTTCAGTCCAACTATAATCACCTTGCTGGGTTTGCTGCAGATTATGGGAAAAACATGTTATAAACTTTAGAATAGAATAGAATTCAGCTTTATTGTCACTGCACTGTCACCTGTACAAAAGCAACGAAATGCAGTGAAACTTATGAAGGTTTTTCAGTCAGTGAAGAAAACATGTAAAAACATCAGTTCAAGTGAAGAGCCCTGAGGTTCTCCTGGCTCTTTATCGCTAAATTTAAGGTGGTTCTGACGTTCAAACTTTAAATTCCTCCTTTGGTTCTTCACTGGCCTGGTTCCTCCCTGGCCCGGTTCTCTACTGGCCCGGTTCTTTACTGGCCCGGTTCTTTACTGGCCCGGTTCTCTACTGGCCCGGTTCTCTACTGGCCCGGTTCTCTACTGGCCCGGTTCCTCCCTGGCCCGGTTTTCTACTGGCCCGGTTCTTTACTGGCCCGGTTCTCTACTGGCCCGGTTCCTCCCTGGCCCGGTTCTTTACTGGCCCGGTTCGTCCGTCAGGCCGATCCGATCAGCTTCCAGGTTCTTCAGGCTGTTTCCTCTGATCCACAGCAATGTGAAGATAAATGGGGTCACCTTTGCGCCCTGGCCGACTTCGCCATCGCCCTGAACGAGAGCATCCAGGAGATCAATAAACATTCCTTCAACAACTTCGAGCTGCGGATCGGTGAGACTTCAGTTCTGCTGAGAAAAGTTATTTTGCTTTTTCAGTGATTTAACGAAGGAATCCTTCTGTTTTCAGTAGAAATGATTTAATGCCAGAAGAGGGAAAATGATAAACTTCCAGACTCAGAAATCCAAAGATTTTCACTGGAAACCAGAATGAACTTTTCTGTTTATGACAAATTATTACCTGAAAATTCTCCTTGTTGGATTCAATCTACATGTTGAACTTCTATGCTTTTTATGGGAAACGCTGATAATTACCATCCATAACCTAATCATGGGGGGAAGTTATGGATTAACGAGTTACTCTAACGTTGATTGATCTCATTGATTGGCTATAGATTAATTAAAATGAGGCCTTTTTAAAAAATCTGAGTTTTCTTTTATATGAAAAGGAGCATCTTTCCATAACATAAAGGGGTATATTATTCATAATATAGTGAATTAAAAAGTTAACATCTTTGTTTGTTGGCTGTTTTAAATACTGACTGAATAATGATGTCAGTTTCTCACATTGTTGAACTTTTGCTGGAGGATTTGACATTTTCTGTCCTGCAGCTGAATGAAAGTTTACAGTGAAGATAAGAATCTTGTTGAGTTTTTATATTTCAAATCAGAACTACATAAAATGCATTTAGCCTCTCACACCGGCCTTTGTTTGGACCGTTTATCGGGTTCTTTCTGGGAAATCTCCGCCATCTTTGTCTCTGGGTCTTAAGGTTGACCAGCGGCGCCTTCTGCTGGATGGCGGACAAACTACAACTCTAAATCAGACAATATTAGTTAATCGATTGAAACTAATTTTAATCTAATAAACCGCTAAACGACGATTGAGTTGATTAATTATTTGCATCATCATATTTGGATTTAAGGTAAATTAAAGGAATTTGTTCAACAGTTTCATGTTTGCAGCATTTGTGTTGAGTGCAAAGTAAACCTTAAAAAAACTGGAAAATCTTCCTTTAAAGTCTAAAGTAATTGACTGTTTTCTGTAATAACCTGTCAATGTTCTTCCATGGTGTTTCATCCAACTGAAGGAATGAAACTTGTTGTTTTAAATGCTGGTCTATTTAAAGCACTGAGTTGTTTCTCTCCAGGAATGGCTCACGGCTCGGTGGTGGCCGGCGTGATCGGCGCCAAGAAGCCGCAGTACGACATCTGGGGGAAGACGGTGAACCTGGCCAGCCGCATGGACAGCACCGGCGTGAGCGGCAAGATCCAGGTTCCCGAGGAAACCTTCCTCATCCTGAAGGAGCGAGGCTTCGCCTTCGAGTACCGCGGCGAGATCTACGTCAAGGGCATCAGCGAGCAGGAGGGCAAAATCCGAACTCACTTCCTGCTGGGCCGGGTGCAGCCCAACCCGCTCATCCTGCAGCCGCGCAAAATCACGGGCCAGTACTCTCTGGCGGCCGTGGTGCTGGGCCTGGTGCAGTCGCTCAACCGGCAGAAGCAGAAGCAGATTCTCAACGAGAACAACAACTCGGGCATCATGAAGGGCCACCACCACTACAACCGCAGGACGTTGTTGGCGGCCGGCGGCGCCGAGGTGGGCGGCGGCCATCACGCCGAAGCGCCGGATAAGACGGATCTGTCCTGAGGCGCCCGGCGCTGATTCCTTACAGGCAGAACTGCTGCGAAGGCCCAGATCCCGTCTGTGGCTGCGTTAAATCCTGGTGGGTGAAGCGTCCGATCATCGGCCTGAAACCGACCCATATCTGGAAACAAGGAGGCAAATATTGTTAACTTTGGCTGATTTCTCAGAGTCATGGGGAGAAACGAAAGTTTCCATCAGAGTTGAATGATCAGGGAGAGCTGATCACATCCTGATCATGTCCATTGAGTGAGCAGAAATGCATCTAGACGAACAACAACTGGCAGTTTGTTGATCTGCAGCTGTGAGCTGATGTTATGCTGACCGACGGTCTGGGGAGTGTCATGAGGCAGAGCCGTTAGACGGCCTCCTTCAAAACCTGACAGTAAAATATCTTCTGTGAAACAGGTTTACAGTCCATCCAGCAACAGACAACCTGCAGACGGGAAACAGGTCAGAGGAAACAAACATGGCCGACCAGAAACAGCGGCGATAGATTATGGATTATGTTGATTAGAGAATAAACCAGCGGACTGCATCGTGTCAGCAGGCTGTGACCTGGTTTGACCTCTGGGATCGCCACACGCTGACCATCCAACATGCTGAATATCAACCATTTCCGATCAGAGCAGGATCGATGCGCCGTAACGGCCTAGTCAATGTCCACAACCTTTCAAAACAAATGTGAGCTGCAACTTGAAGTCGTTGCTGCTGAAATCGGTTCTGTCAACTGAATCAGAGACTTTATTTCTCCTCATGACTTTATTTCATGTTTTCAGTTGAAAATGAATGTAAATCATTTTTAGTTTTGGTTTATTAAAGTATTTCTGATGAAAAACGCCGTTTGGACATCCAGAGACTTTTACTTTGAAGTTTTCATCATGAATGTCTAAAACTGAACGTTCCTCCTGTGTTCACTACAAGCTCCGCCCACTTCGGTTTAGTCCAGCCAATGAGGTTTGATCTTCGTCCTGAGCAGCTCTGCTTTCTGAGAATGTTTGTAGAACTGAAACTCAACTGTAGAGACGGGTGGGTTACTGGGAGCACAGGGAGCACTGGGAGGACTGGGAGGACTGGGAGCACTGGGAGGACTGGGAGGACTGGGAGCACAGGGAGCACTGGGAGGACTGGAGCACTGGGAGGACTGGGAGCACTGGGAGGACTGGGAGCACTGGGAGGACTGGGAGGACTGGGAGCACAGGGAGCACTGGGAGGACTGGGAGCCCTGGGAGGACTGGGTGGACTGAGAGCACTGGGTGGACTGGGAGGACTGGGCGTCGCGCTCCGTCTTCCAGACTGATTATCCGGGACTTTTCCCAACGTTCCTGCTGTCTGTTCCCATTTTTATCTCACCTGCGTTGGACCCGTTCACACCTGACCCCTGCCCTTTGACCTTTGCCCGGTATCGATGTTTCTTTTTTGTATTTCTTTTATATATGGATCACAATAAAAAGGGGTTTAATTTTTTATAGAAGCAACTCGTCTGCTTGTTTTGATTCTTCAGTTCTTTCATTCAAACTGTAGAAAAATAAACTTTGATTAATCTGAAGGAAATAAGGAGAGAAAAACAAAAAGTTCTAAACTTTATTTATTTTACAAAAATAAAGGTTTTACAAGCAACAACGTATTAAAGTCTACCGTCATTAGAATGCTTTAGTTATGATTTTGGTTTTAAACACGTCCAGCAGTTAAAAACAAATTGTGTTGATGTCAGTATGTCGCCTGTTTCTCCACATAAAACTTTTATTTTAGGAAAGATTTAGTTTTTAAAGTTAGAACTTTAATGTTTTAACTTTTTTAACTTTAAAGGTGATTCTGTCCAGGTTTGAATTTCTGCACTGAAGAAAATCACCGAGTTCAGAAACATTTCAGCAGCTTCATAAAAAACTCACTGCTAAAACTTTTTAAGGTAACTAAATCAGATGCAGCCTGTAGTTTGCACATCCAGCCACCAGGTGGCAGCAGACGTCCGGCCAGGCCAACGCATCGCCTGGAAAAGCTTCATGTTGCTGAAGAGTCTGAGGCTCGAAGCTTTTATTTCACCGCGTTTACACAAATAACAATAACGTAAAGACAGATAGAAAGTGATTTTAGTTTATAATTTGTTTTTCAAATCAATAGTTTCTACTTCCTTTTCCTGAGCCTGATGCTCCAACAGAAACATCAGTGACGAGTAAATCAGGAAATCAAAGCAGCAGAGACAAACACAAAGCCGGCTCTTCCAGGAGGAATCGATTCCTCCTCTTTCCTCCCTCTGCATGGATTTTCTGTTAGACAAGCAGGAGGAAGAGAAGGAGGAGGAAGAGGAGGAGGAGGAGGAGGAGGAGGAGGAAGAGGAGGAGGAGGAGGAGGAGGAAACAGCAGGAAAGGCAGATGTGGAGGATGGGGTTGCCATGGCGACGCCGGCCTGTTGAGCCTCCAGTGTTTGTGTCTTTACTACTGGCTGCTGGGATGGAGGAGAGACAAACGGTGTCGGATCTGTGCAGCAGCACCAGAACCTGACGCCGAGCGACACCAACGACCGATCCGGGATGGATCCGGGATGGATCCGGGATGGATCCGGGATGGATCCGGGATGGATCCGGGATGGATCCGGGATGGATCCGGGATGGATCTGGGATGGATCCGGGATGGATCTGGGATGGATCTGGGATGGATCTGGGATGGATCTGGGATGGATCCGGGATGGATCTGGGATGGATCTGGGATGGATCTGGAATGGATCCGGGATGGATCTGGGATGGATCTGGGATGGATCTGGAATGGATCCGGGATGGATCCGGGATGGATCCGGGATGGATCTGGGATGGATCTGGAATGGATCCGGGATGGATCCGGGATGGATCCGGGATGGATCTGGGATGGATCCGGGATGGATCCGGCAGGGATCCGGGATGGATCTGGGATGGATCCGGGATGGATCCGGGATGGATCTGGGATGGATCCGGGATGGATCCGGCAGGGATCCGGGATGGATCTGGGATGGATCTGGAATGGATCCGGGATGGATCTGGGATGGATCCGGGATGGATCTGGGATGGATCTGGGATGGATCTGGGATGGATCCGGGATGGATCTGGGATGGATCTGGGATGGATCTGGAATGGATCCGGGATGGATCTGGGATGGATCTGGGATGGATCTGGAATGGATCCGGGATGGATCCGGGATGGATCCGGGATGGATCCGGGATGGATCCGGGATGGATCTGGGATGGATCCGGCAGGGATCCGGGATGGATCCGGGATGGATCCGGGATGGATCCGGGATGGATCTGGGATGGATCCGGGATGGATCCGGCAGGGATCCGGGATGGATCTGGGATGGATCTGGGATGGATCCGGATGGATCTGGGATGAATATGGGATGGATCCGGCAGGGATCCGGGATGGATCTGGGATGGATCTGGGATCTGTCCAGAGCATCATTACAATGTGAAGGAACACAAAGACACTGAATGCAGCTGGAAAATGCATGAAGATAAACTATTATGATGAGAAAAATCTAAAATAGGTGATAAAGTGAACATGGAATGATGTTGGATAAACTATTTCAGTCTTGAAGCATCAGTTGAGCTTTCACATGCGGCTGACTCTCATCTTGGAGGAACAGAAATGTTTTGTCCTCTCTGCAGCCTGAAGTTCCCACAGTCAGTGGAAAATGGCAGCAGTAAATCCTGCCAGCCGTTGTTCTCTGTTTGACAGATGACCTCCTGCTGGCTGCTGCTCTCCTCAGCCGTCCTCCGATCAGCGGAGCTGCAGGTTCCTGGAGCAGAGCAGATCTCGCTGTGTGGCTTCATTTACTTTACAAATCAAACTTTAAATCTGGGAATAACTGCAAACCAAAAGAACAAAAACAAAAGCCCTTGGTGCAAATGGAGCAGCCATTATATTTCCCGTCAGGATCCCATCTGTCTTTCACACAACAGATTTTTTATGAGCTGTTTTCAGTTTGGTTTCCCAGATCTTCTTCATCTGAGATGAAGTGAGATCCACAGATTTCACTGAGCAGGAAATCAGTGACAGGATGGAGTCAGTGAAGAAAGACTGAATTTTACCAATTTCTAAAGTAGAAACTCAGATTTTGAGGCACAAATGGATCAAAGCTTCCAAGGACAGATAAACTGTGGGTTCAACACAGATCAACGGTGTTTTCCTTCATTAGTAGAAAACTATAACATGAAGTTACTTTATAAATGCTTTAGTAGACTGAAATGATGACATGCTGTAAAGTGTGCTGGTTTTGGTGTCTGAATCTGCCAGCAGGTGTTTTAGGTTGTTTTAGTCCAACCAGCCTGTTCCCCTCCTGGCCTGCGGGGGCGCTGCACCAAGAACCACCGAGGGAAACGACACAAAAACCTCTGAGAGCAACTTCCTTCTTCACCAGACGGAACCAAGATGGAGGCGTCAGATTCTCTTTAGTTTTTGGTGAGAGACCTTCCTCGGCTAACCCGAGACTGGCGCGTTTATTTTGGTTGTATTTACCCAGAATGCCCTGCGCTATAATCCACTTCCTGCCTCTGGAGCGGTTTTCGGTCCGCCAGAAATTACACAATCGGCGTAGAAAACATGTCCGTTTATTTCTGTATTACTCGGCTTCCGTAGTTCACACCTTTTTGTTGACTGGAATGTTTTGTAGTAAATAAGAAACGACGTATCTGGGTGGGTTGTATACAGGCTAGCATTAGTGCTATCAGTTACAGGCTAGCATTAGTGCTATCAATTACAGGCTAGATTAGTGCTATCAGTTACAGGCTAGCATTAGTGTCTATCAATTACAGGCTAGCATATTGTGCTATCAGTTACAGGCTAGCATTAGTGCTAACAATTACAGGCTAGCATTAGTGCTATCAATTACAGGCTAGCATTAGTGCTATCAATTACAGGCTAGCATTAATGCTATCAATTACAGGCTAGCATTAGTGCTATCAGTTCAGCAAACTTGTGTTTCATCAAGATGTACCTTTATGAAAGTGGCCAAAAAAATTCAAGATTTAATCTCAGATTTTTTCGTTTAACATCAGCTGCCTGCCACATTGGAGTCGAGCTGAACTTTTCCCTCCATTACCTGAGCAGGTAAAACATCAGCAACGTGATTTTAGCTTTCCTATAAATCCCCCAACATAGTTTAAGTTATGGACTGCAGATTAAATTACAATATGAGACTAAAGATGCAACAAGCTATAAATATTTTTTCTGTTTGATAAATTACACCAAAGTTCAAATAATGACAAATATTTACTTTCCAGCCACGATTCACATCTAGATTAGAAACTAAACACTCCTTTTGATGCTTCAGGGAAAAACATAAACCAAGACAAATTAATGCATTTTTAAACTTTTATTACATATCGCTAAAGAAACAATCTCCACAGACTTTAAATGGAAAAACAGAATTCATAAGGAACCACAAATCTATTTATTGATTAATTTTGCAGGGTTTTTGGGTTGAAAATTAAGTCATAAATCTCTGTACCGCCTTAAAAATCTAACAATTCAGAGTTTTTAATTCCAGTGAATCTGAAATTTTCCTCCCATGTTGAATCTGAGGCAGCAGAGCGGCTCTAATTCAGACTGACGGGTTTAAAACCAGAAGAGGGAATAAAGTGAAAGTTGGTTCAGGACGCCATCATGACAGGAAGTTAATTAACAGCAGCAGGGGCCAAATCTTCACCTCTGGCGCCCATTCGTTATGCAAAACGTTCACTTCTATGACGGAAAATGTGATTTGTTTACTTTGAAGCTGCATCTTTACCTCTGCTTCACATCGCTGTGGGTTTTCTCAGAGATCAGTGCCATTTCTGCTTTTCTTCAAGGTTAGCAGCAAATCTCATTTTATCTTCAGTTCTAGCTGGCATTTATGAGATGAAGCACAAAGATTAAACGCTTCCTGAACATGTTTTCATGCAGAGTGACCTGCATTATTTACCTCCACATGTCGGATTCCTCCCTGGTTCTGAAGCCACATCCCTGGAGGAGAGTGAATCAGTAAGTTTGATTTATTTACTTTCTCAGACTGCAAAGCGCTTCATAGTAAAAATACAGTTGAAGGAACATTAAATGTAATAATATTCATAGCAGCTGTGTTTCTATTACTAATGACAGACATGGTAAAGTTTCCATTAG